AACTTCACTGAATCAGTCACAGATTATTGTTGTTACTCAGATAACATCAACCACGGGATTATTTACGATCGTTTAACTTATGAGTTCCTTCAGAGTGTGTAATCCTGCAGTCTGGTCAGAGGAAAGCCTTGTTTGGAGACACAGGCTGACCATCTCGTCTTCATGGACAAGCACCGCAGCATCCTCTGGGTTGTAGAAGATGGAAGATAAAATCCACCTGGAAACTGGGATTATTTCTGTAGATGGCCGGTCATGTAGGTGAAAACTGACCCTTTCTGGACGTCACACTTGCAAGACACATCCCGTGTTATCAAGATGTCTCTGTGAAAACTGCTGCCACCTAGCTGTAGAAGTCGGAATTGCTCCACACAAACGTGCTGCACTAAGTACTACAGTATTTCAGTGTACTGATACTTCCTTGTACCTCTAACGTGTTGCGGTGTGGACGTGAGGACCCGGATGCAGGTAAACCCCGGAGACAGCCCGGGGAAACGTCACGTCCACGTGGGTTTCAGGAGGAGCACCGTAAACATCAAAGGCCCCGCCCACACACAGCTCCTCGTGTGAAATACCGTCTTTAATAAATAAAAGTCACCGGGCTGTGATTAATACTGGTGTTCCTGTCGTTTATTCTGTTGATTATTATTATTATTATTTAGATGAGGACACGAGGTGTGTTTCACAGAGTAAACCATGAAGATGTGTATATTTATGGACTGATGTGGTCTTCTTATTGAACTCATATGAACGTGTTCGTGTAGAAACAGTCACATTCACGGCAGATGCCATGTTGGTTGGATGCATCTTTATTTGTTGATGTTTACATTTACAGCAGGGAGGACGCAGTCATCAGCGGAGGGAATCGGGTCTGGCGGAGCCTCAAACACAAACACAGCATCGGTGTGGTTTCCTGATGTTTGTGTCGCTCGCGGTGGGAACGTCAGACCCCTCCGTCGTTCCTGAGTGAGGGACTCTGATCCGTCTTTCGTTCTATTTTCACTGGCATGCTGGATTTCCTAGACTTCTTCTTTGGTACGGGGTCAGCTGAGCTCCAGCGCCACCTGCAGGGCAGACTGGTTCCACTGGGAGGAGAACCTTCAGAGGAAGCAGGTTGAGCTGGGAGCAGGAGAGGAGGGACCCGGCTCTGAGACCGGTCCGGACCGAGACCCAGGTTGTCTGGAGTGTGAGGATGAGAGGATGGAGGAGAGGCGGATAGACGAGGGGCGTTGCACCAGCAGCCATGTTCTCCGTTCTTCATGGCGTCTCCGTGCGCCGGCGCTTGCTGCCAGCGCGTGTCTCTGCTCTCTCTGCTTCTGCTCGTCGGTTCTTCACACTGGTGCTGCTCACCCTCATGCAGGTGTGTGTCGGAGACAGAGTGTGTGTTCTGGTCCGGCTGGGCGTCTCTGACGGCGCCCGTGTGCAGCCGTGGGTTTGGGTTGGCGCTGTGTCGGTTTCGGCTGCGCAGCGAGCTGAAGACCATGGTGCAGCCTGCAATCGTGCAGCCATGTTTGATCTTCAGGTGGACGGCGTTGTAGTGGATCTTCAGGGTTCCTGGTAGAAGACAAACAGCAAGAAGCTGTTTACAGCAGCTGTTTTGGGTCAGAACCGACCTGGAACGTCAGACCAGGTCCTGGTGGGGCGGTAGAACAGACAGCTGACAGGTGGTTCCTACGATCTCCAGAGCTCAGACCTGATAGGACCTCACCGGAAGCGCTGATCTAAAGATAACCACACCCTGAAGATACTTCTGGTTCTTACCTTTGTCATAGAAGCTTTTCCCACAAACGCCACAGCAGACCCTCCCTTTCCGACCTCCTGCAGGAGACAGGGAGGGGAGGGTGCAGAGGGAGGAAGGGACAGGACGGAGGGATGCAGATGAGGCTGGAAGAGAAGGAAGAGAGGAGCTACCAGGAGGACAGAGGCAAGATGAGAAGGATGGAAGAGAGGGCAGAGAGAGGGGTGGGCCTCGAAACTTTTGGGAATTCTGTAGACGACAGGAGGAGGAGAGGGGAGGATACGGGAAAGATGGAGTCAATGAGGAGTTTATTGGAGAGGGTAAGGGAGAAGGTTTCTCCTGCTTGGTCATTCCTCCCTGGGGACGAAGCTCCTGCTCATTCTGTAAAACTGGATTCTGATGCCAAAGGAACAACGATGGCTTGGGAATGTCTGGGTCTGTTTTTATGGAAAACTTTGGATCACTTCCAGAATACTTCCAGGTCAGCTCCTGGTCCTCTTCGGTCCTGTCTCCTGGATGGTCGTGTGTGGTCCCACTGGGCTTTTGAAGGATCCGTGTCAGCTTACTGGAAGGAAAACCGGAAGAAAACTGGAAGAAAAAAGGTTTTAATCATCAGTTAAATGTGAGGAATAAAGATTAGGAGAACTGGATCATCGCTGGGATCGGAATCCACGTATTCCTACCTTAGTAGGAGGAGGTAAACAGCGGACGGTTGAGTAAGGGAATTGAAACGGGAGAAGACTCCACCATCCTGGGAAGTTTCCACTCTGAGGTGTTGTGTTGTCGTTGGTAACCAGTGGGGACTCCAGTGGTCCTCTGCTCCTCCTGACGGGTTCCTGTCTGGATTTATGTCCGGCTCTGGACTCTGGACCAGCGGGGTGACCGTCTCCTCTCGGGGACTGAAGCATCATCACCTCCACGATGGGACGCGTCTCTCCAAAGCGGAGGAACTGTTTCAGGACCAGCCGCTGTTCTTCAGGAGTGACCAGGACCCATCGGTCCAACACCTTCCCACTGGGATCCTGCAGGAACAGGAAGTGATTCCAGTAAACTCACGTTTTAATTCTTAGCTGAGTTGTCCTGGTTGGTTCTGTTGATCTGTTCAGATGTTTGTGTTTAACACTTTTCTAAACTAACAGGTCACTTGTGTACAGCAGACGTTCTCCTAAGAGTCCGTCTGACTTTAGAAGTAAAACCAAAAGCAACAAGTCATAAGAAGCACTTTACTTGTTCTAATTAACTGAATCTGAACCCATTTTCATTTATTTAATTCAGACTTTGTTTGTTTGTTTGTTTGTTTGTTTGTTTGTAGTATTTGTTAATCATAGAGTAAAGTCATCAGCATAAGGTGAGACGAGTCCAACAATAATAAAAAAGATTAAATGATAACAACTGAGGTCCTATAAAACCTCCCTGAGGCACTCCAGATTTTGTATTTTATTGAGCTTTTTGATTGTTTTATTTTAATAAACATTTCCACATTTCTGTCTGAAGCCTCTTGTCTTACAAAAAGAATTCCCTCCAGGGTTTATGTGAAATATTATCCTGGAATAGATAACAAAACAAACGTGTGTCGTTACCAACAGACTCCGACAATCAACCCTGAAAATAGACTTTAGCACGTTTATCTCAGTCACATGAGACTTGTTTCATTTGGTGAAAAATGTTTTTAAAGAGACAAAAACTTTTTAAAAAGTTTCAACTAAAAATGTTTTAATAAAATAAAATATGAACTTATTAAAACATCCAGAATTCGTTTGTTAATGAGCATGCTGTGGTTTAAATGCTGAAAGGCTTGTATTTAGTTCAGGTTCCAAAGGAACTGAAAACATTAGAATTGAATTTAAAATCTTTGTTTTCTACTAAACTCCTCCGGGCAGAAAAGCACCCTCTGGACCAGACTGTGTGGTTCCTCCTTGACCCGCTACGAACCACTTCCCCGGATCTGGGGAAGAGCTTTTAGTCTTCAGGCTCTGCTGATCTGGAATCAGCTTCCTGTTTGGATCTGAGATAAAAGCTGTCCTGCTGACGCTGGTCAGAGGGATTGGTGGTGTCAGCGTGCCCCAGGGCAGCTGTGGCTACATTGCAGCTCATCACTATCAGTGTGTGAATGGATGAATGACTGGGTATGCTGTGAAGTACCTTGGGGATTTCTAGGAATCTAGCAGGTGCTATATCAAATACAGACCATAAACCAGATGCTGCATCGAGCCAGACTCTAAACCCATCGTTAGGGTCATACCTGCAGCAGGTACCCTCTGATGTAATCCCCCAGACTCTAAACCCATCGTTAGGGTCATACCTGCAGCAGGTACCCTCTGATGTAATCCCCCAGACTCTAAACCCATCGTTAGGGTCATACCTGCAGCAGGTACCCTCTGATGTAATCCCCCAGACTCTAAACCCATCGTTAGGGTCATACCTGCAGCAGGTACCCTCTGATGTAATCCCCCAGACTCTAAACCCATCGTTAGGGTCATACCTGCAGCAGGTACCCTCTGATGTAATCCCCCAGACTCTAAACCCATCGTTAGGGTCATACCTGCAGCAGGTACCCTCTGATGTAATCCCCCAGACTCCAGCCCAGCGTGTGCAGAATCTGACTGACCTGAAACATAAAACATCTCTCTGAATCTTTATTCTGCTCGCCTGTCCCCTTCCACGGACCAGGACATACCTGCTCCGGAGTCAGGATGCTGTAGAGCCGGTCCAGTAGGATCTTCAGCTGGACCGGGACGGCCTGAGATCCGTACAGAACCAGGGAGCTCAGGTCAAACACCAGCCCAGGAAGGGCCACCTCCACGGGGCCACGGCTGGATGGAGGAAGGGTCTGGAGCTTCTGCAGAGCTGGAAGGAGAAGAAATGTGGTGGGGTCAAAGTTCACCTGCTACTGAATGTGTGTGTGTGAGAGAGAGAGAGAGAGAGAGAGTGTGTGTGTGAGAGAGAGAGAGTGTGTGTGTGTGAGAGAGAGAGTGTGTGTGTGTGTGCATTTGTGTGTGCGTTAGTGTGTGTGTGCGTTAGTGTGTGTGTGTGCGTGCGTTTGTGTGTGTGTGTGTGTGTGTGTGTGTGCGTGTGTGTGTGTGCGTGTGTGTGTGTGTGTGTGTGTGTGCGTGTGTGTGTGTGTGTACAGATGTTCCTTCCAGATGTTCATACTGACAGAAAGACACATGATTCTTGTCACCTGACTGAGTTCACACACCTGCAGGTGTTCTGAATATTGTCTCTCAGCCTTAATAATTATTTATCCTGTGTGTGTGTGTGTGTGTGTGTGTGTGTGTGTGTGTGTGTGTGTGTGTGTGTGTTACCATGTCCCACCCAGCCGTGTCCACAGTGATCACATGACCTGAGCTGGACACTTCCTGGTAAGAAACCCAGACATGTGCAGCCGGGCTCTGAACACCTGATGGACTGAACCGAACCAGAACAGAACCAGACGTTTGAGCCCAAAGGAGAGAAAAGGGGAGGAGTTTATAAATAATTATTTCATTTTTGGGTTGTGATTTTCCTGTGAGGAGTCGGTACCTCCTGAGGGTCTGGAGTCATCATCACATCTTCATCCTACAGAATCCAAACCCAATCAGGCTTTTGGGTCAGTAAACAAAAAGTCATCAAATGAGAGTTTTTATTATAAAACAACATGATTTGGGTTATATCTTTATTTTATTTATTTTCCTTTAAAACCTTTATTAAAGGTTTGGGATTGTTACAGAGACACAAACAGTATTTAATCTGATTTATTCACATTGAAACTCTGTAAAAATGTCATTTTAACTTTTAAAAATGTAATTAAATTAAAAAATAGTAAACCAAACTCCTGCAGTATTAATTTATTAATATTTTAACTCAATAAATTTTTTCATATCTCATGTAGATTCTTTAGCTTCATTCCTTATAATTTTGTTTTATTTTAACTCATTTTCTGAAACATGAAATGTTGGTTCAGAAAAAATATTTATATAATAATAATAATAATAATAATAATAATAATAATGACAACAACAACAATAACAATAAAAAAATACAATAATAATGGCAACAATAATAATATTAATAATAATAATGACAACAACAACAGTAATAATAATATTAACAACAACAATAACAATAACAACAACAACAATAATAATAATATTAACAACAACAATAACAATAACAACAACAATAATAATAATATTAACAACAACAATAATAATAATAATAATAACAATAATAATAATAATAATAATAACAATAATAATAATAACAATAATTATAATAATAATTATAATTATAATAATGACAACAATAATAATAATAATAAATATTATTTTTCTAGCTGTAAAATGCAAACAGAAAGGCTGAATACACGTTTTACATCCGGTGACATTTGGAGTTCCTCACTCAGAACATTCAGAATAAGCAAATTAAAACACCAACCTTTAATTTTTGCTGATGGAGGAAAAGTTGCTTCTTTCTTTTTTTCCTCAAAATAATTTCTTTTTTATATGTTTCTTCATCTTAACCCCTCCATCCTCCTCTTCCTCTCCGGCTCTCTAAACTTCACTTTTCCTCTGCTCACTTTCAGGTTTTCACCGTTTTTCTTGCTCTTCATCCTTTGACTCCTCCTCCTCCTGGTTCAGCTGATACGATTGGAGGAAACGTGGTGAAGGAGGAGGAGGAGGAGGAGGAGGACCGGGAGACGGAGATGCAGTAGGAGGAGTAGGACGAACAGGGCCAGGAGCCACACTACTGCTTGTCTAAGTCAGGAACTCCAGCGTGCTCTACGCTGCATTCATCCATTCACACACGGATGGTGATGAGCTACATCATAGCCACAGCTCCCCCAGAGCACACTGACAGAGGCCACCGGTCCCACCAACCACCAACAGCAGACAAGGACACAATGACCCGTGACAAGGTCACAACTTCCCCAGAGAGTGGTTAGAAGTCTGGAACTTTCTGTTTGTCCTCAAATATTATAAATCATCTGTGATTTGGTGAAAACACTCATCGTCACCATCGTCATCCTCAGGGCAGTAGCAGTAGCTCAATGGTTTGTCCATGAGCCAGAAGGTTGCAGGTTTGATCCCAGCTGTTGTGTCCTTGGGCAAGACACTTAACCTCGCTGGTGGTCGCAGGGACCGGTGGCACCTGTTCCTGGCCTCTGCACAGCACATTCAGGAACAGGGTCTTGGGGGGACATGCTAATCTTCTCTGTGATGGTTTTAGTAAATGTCCCGTTCCTTTGAACCACCTCCTCACTCACGGACCAACAAGGCACAACAAGTAGCACCACATCTGCAACAGAGAACGAAGCAACAACCCCAAACAAACATGAATAGAGATCCCAAATTAGAACTGACAACTAAAGTACCCACAATGCACCCCGCCAACGGCAGCTGCTGCAGGACAGGGTCAGTACAGGACAGGGTCATGACAGCATGTAGACGAAGACCAATGCCATCACCCCGCTTCTCCTCCAGCTTCACTGGCTGCCAATCAACTTCAGGGTTCATTTCAAGATCCTGGTTCTGGTCTATAGGGCCTTACATGGACAAGCACCATCTTACATTGGTGATCTTCTTAGTCCCTACACCCCCAGCAGGTCCCTGAGGTCCAGTGATCAAAGCCTACTGGCTGTGCAGCACCAGGCTAAAGGTCAAAGGTGACATATCATCTGCTGCTGTGGCCCCCAGACTCTGGACCTCTCTCCCCCTGAGCCTGAGAACAGTGGACTCAGTGGTCTCCTTTAAAAAGCAGCTGAAGTCTTGAATTTCTATGGTCAC